TACTCACATGTTTCCTCCAAGAAGTTTTGAGTTGAGGGTGATGGTAACTGCACCAAACCAGACAATGACAAAGACTTCTGCAAACTGGGGCCCTCCATCCTTTTCACTATCTACAGAGCTTCTTTGAAGCATTCTGTGACAAGGAAATGGCATGAGAAATGCTTCATCTTTTATTTAGAGCAATAAAGTTAAGGCATGGGTTGTCCAACATTGAATCAGAGAGCTGTCTGAAACCTCACCTAGAGATCTGTAATATGTAGGCTGTATAAAAGGAAGATGTCAGAAATATTTAGCAAGGCTCCTTTATTTCAAATTCCAAATGCCTCAGGACTACAGGGGTTGCCTCATATGGCCTTGTTAAGATGTTTACATGCATTACTGAAGACTGTTTTGGTTAAGCACAGGTTATAAACTGAAGGGCCAAATGTGGCTCACAGACATGAGGTTGTTGGTCTGTACATGGCTTAACATGGGTTTAAATCCAAGATGACATTATTTTAAAGTTGGGAGGTTTCACATAAAAACATGTATTTCTGGGGGCACCTGGGTGACTTGGTTGAGCATCCAATTTCGGCTCAGGTCATGATCTCGTGGTTCATGGGTTCGAGCCCTGCATTGGGCTCTGTGCTGACAGCACAGAGCCTGGAGCCTGTTTTAGATTCTGTGTCTCCCTCTCTCTCTGCCCCTCTCCTGCTCACACTCTGTCTCTCTCTCTCTCTCTCAAAAAATAAACATTAAAGAAATATGTATTTCTGGATTTTCTTAAAAAACCAGAAGAATTTCTAACACATTGCTACACAGCAACAATTGGGAGCAGGTGACACAGCAGCAGCTCCCTTCACAAGGGGCTTCAGGTCACCAATTCCCAACGAATACATTTAGGTTACTTTTCTAGCCCTTAGACACATTTGGATTTGTAATCCTGGGGTTAAGTCTTTAGTTCTTACATTCAAAAATGGAAACGTTCTATAAACCTATTTAGCTGTGGATTTTTAAAAATAAAAACATACAGATTATTACTAAGAGACTTTGCTTTAAAATAGAGTAGTTGAACTGTCACTTAAATATCCTCTCTTTGTCTAAGAATTTTACAGACATAAACTGTTTTGAACTTTGGACAAGAACACTTGGATTCAGTGTCATTTTTTTCAGAAAAATAATAAATAACACCAAGCTCACAACCTCTTTTCATTACATAGTATAGACAAGTCACATAGTAAGTCTCGCCCTGCTATGCTGTTTGCCAGTACAGGCTTTTGTATTCTACAGTTGTACATAGTCCATTCTGAGTCCTGACAATCCGATGCAAGGAATGCTGGCATTCATCACTTGTCTGGAATCTCTATTGCTTCAGCATGGTATGATAGAAGAACATTAACTGGCCTCAAAGGAAGGAGATCCAGAAAGTGATCCTAGTTCTGTCACTAGATACATACACTAGAGTAATCATTTCATGTCTTGGGACTCCAGTTTTCCTCTCTGCAAATAAATTGGGTTAAACTACATAATCTCTAATGTTAACCTTTTAAAGCTAAAAAAGTACATGCTCAAAAATTCTAATATAAACCTGTCCATCAAGGCACCAGGTTATTGCCCTTGATGTGGTTATTAAAGGGCTAAGAAAAAGCACTCTATGTTATTACCTAAATCACCACATGATCAATTTACATTAAAAAAATGGGTATGGGAGCCTGGGTGGTTCAGTCAGTTAAGCATCCAACTTGATTTCAGCTCAGGTCATGATTTCATAGTTGGTGAGATCAAGCCCCATGGAGCCTGCTTGAGATTCTCTCTCTCTTTCTCTCTCTCTCTCTCTCTCCCCCTTCCTCTCTCACGCTCTCTTTCCCTTCCTCCCTCTCTCTCAAAATAAACTTTAAAGTAAAAAAGTGGGTAGAAAAGCCAGTAAGAAACTTGCTGAATTTAGAATCATAAAACATCAAGCCTGGAAAGGATCCTCAGCCATCTCCTTTTACAGATATGGAAGAGGAGACCCAGAGGGGTTAGGTGGGAAGAGAGGTATAATAATCATAGAGATAGAGAACGGGCAGTGAAGGAAACCTGAGGTTGAATCCCAGGTCTACCACTGACTGTGTGATCTTGGTTCAGTCCTCAATCTCTCTGAACCTAAGCTTGTTTGTCAAAAAAAGAAAATAATATTCTTGTTATGATGTTAAAATAAGAGAAGGTATTTAAAAGTTTTCTGTAGGGGCGCCTGGGTGGCTCAGTCGGTTAAGCGTCCGACTTTGGCTCAGGTCGTGATCTCGCGGTCTGTGAGTTCGAGCCCCACGTCGGGCTCTGTGCTGACAGCTCAGAGCCTG